TTACCTGGACCCCTTTACACCGACCAAAATCTAAGCGTTCAGAACTTCCTGGGCGTTGCCATTCGCTGGTTGGCAGCCGAATATTCTGAAAATCATGCAGCCACATAATCCTCCATCAAAAAGTCTTGAAGGATGAACGGAAGTACATATGATCTCCTCCTCCAGCAACATAGGATGGCTAGATGGCTTGAATGAGTACATATATGGCTTCCATCGGACTCAATTAAAGATTCCCAACACAAAGCGATTGCTGGATCTGAACTTATTCCCGATTGCTTTGGGGCTTTGGGATTTCATGGGGGTTGTACCTATTGGTTCAGGTTTGGAAACAGGGCAAGGTGGAAACTGCTGCAAGTACGGAGCGGTGACCCTCTTCTTCAACGGCCCTGGGGGTCAGCGCCTCAGCTTCTGGCCCACTGGCCCATTGCGCCAGCAAGCCAGCGCTGCAAAGTCCTCCTATTAGCCGAAACTGCAGCCACACGCCTCCCTAGAAGTGAGACTCTGCCTATGAAGTCCTCTGCAGAGGAACATGAGTAAGACATCGGGTTCAAAGCTGCGTATCCTTGTGTTCTCGCCTTTTCGATCTCCAGAATGATGTGGTGGAGGTAATGAATTTTTGGTGCAAGCTTGAATAACGGTCGCTTAGCTTCCAGTGCCAAAGCGGCCAAGTGTGAATACGATCGTAGGAAGGACATGCCTGCAGCAACAATAGGCCGTGCAGCATCAGGCTCCTTATAGGTTTGAGGTAACAACGTAACAAGATTTATGGGATCCAAGGAGTATACTAAAGAGACTCAAAAAATCGATCAGCCTATAACTTTGAAAGCCATAATCCTAGAAACCCCATATCAACCTCATATAAATCCACAAGCTGATGTATACCTTATGTATATATATATAGACCCTATATATCAACCCTGTATAAGCCTTGCTTTCAAACTATGTAAACACCAAACCCCAAATAAACCTTCAACAAACCCTATCCAACCCCAAGAAACCCTAAACCTACACCTCAGAACCTTATAAAGCTTAAAACCTCTAGAAACCCTAGACCTGAGGCCGCATTTATACACTGAGAAAATTATGCAGTATGCCACCTCCTAAACATGATTCCTGGACATCAAAGCAGGGGCCTGTATATAAAGATTAGCAATATAAAATGAAAAGGTAGCCAGTCACGATTATTAGGGGCAAGATGGGCAAGGTTCAAGCCACAGGTCGCCTTTGTAGAGGCCCTTCATGAAGTCACCAATGGAGTCGGCAGCCCGCTTCATGTAGTACAGGGTGCTGTCATGACCCCGATCACATTGCTCCAAGTTGAGCTCCAAGATGTACCTGATGAACTGCACAATGCGCGTTGTATCTGCTGCCTTGGGCCATGTGCCAGTGGGATAGATTTTCTTCGCGTCCGGAAAGGTCAATCTGTCCCGTGTGAAAGCTGTAAGGTTCACAGGCACCTTGTGCATCTTTCGCCAAAGGGTAAACACCTCGTTCAGCATTTCCAGCTGCTTGTCCACACTATTGCCATTTCGACCCCGGAAAAACAGGGGCAACATGTAGACCAGACAGCTCGCTCCAAAATCCTGACCAACGCCTGCCAAATGAATGTGAAAGAGGTCAGGGAAGTAGAACTTGCTTGGCTGCTTCATGTACATAAGGGAAGCTTGTATCATCCCCCCCGGCATTGTCCAAGGTGGCTCCTCATCATTCTGCATGACCGTCAGCCAGCGGGGGCGCTTAGTGTGGATCTCCTCAAAAGGATATTCCGGGCACCCTGCAGGGCACAACCAGCAGCACTTTCCAGTGACTGTCGTAGGTTTGTCAGGGTTGTAGGGCCGCTTTCTCGCTGTTGCAAACCACTGAGTCAAACGCCCTGCACGGGCTTGGAGTTTCAGATCACCTTTCAAGCCAATGAGCGCAAGACGTAGGACTTCTCCATCACCACAAGAGATGCCTTCTTCGTAACACTCCATCAAGTCTTCAGCAAAAGCCTCCAACAAGGTCTGGAACGCAGTCTCGTTAGACTTGTGCCAGGCGGATGGCATGCAGGCGTAAAGATAGTGGGTGGTATAACTGTGCCCCAGGAGGGCCATCCGAAATTTAGCCTCCTTCTTCCAGGACTTGCGCACAGAGGGGTCTTTAAAGTTGCGTTTCCCAGAACCACAACCCACCACCGGGCCAAAGTTGAACACCATGAACTCACTTTTTTTGTAGCCACGCCCCCCATCTATGTGGGCAATGATGGGTATAGTGTTGCGGAGCGAAACATGCTTGTCATTGAAGAGCTGAAAGTCTGGGTGAATATTTCGATACTTGTTCCAGAAATCCTCCAAAAGGTTTCTGCTACATTCCAAAGACTTCCCCCCCAACAGCTTGTTCAGGTGGCCGGCCTCTGACATATAGGAAAACAAGTCCAAAGGCTTCAGTCTTGGAAACCCTTCAATCTCCGGCTTGCCATGAATACCCTTTAGCGGAATAGGCAGACTCAAGTTGTACTTGGACAGAAGATCATGTGCCCTTTCTTCAGAATCCTTTTCACGAACCCGTGAAAGATCCGACACAAAGCTTGGGCCCGAGGTTTCGAATCCATCCGCCGTCAGCGCCTTTGCCAGGCCCACCATCTTGGAGCAGGGCACCTGAGCATAACCAGGGTTTGTAGGAGTGTTATCAGGAAAGGTTGGAGACTGAATTGGCTTCACTCTTCCATTTTCTACATATACACATCAGCTCTCATTTAAAAAAGCGGGTCCCTCGTAGGTTTCTATGCGTTTAATATAGGGCCAGGTCTAAATAGGGTCATAGCTGATGGGTTGCTTTATGAAAGCGGACACAGGAGAGAAGTAGTAAAGTGAAGAGTACACTGATTGGCCACGCGCGGCTGTTGATATCTTTTCTTGCGCGCACACCGAACTCACTTCGACCTCTGGTGATGATACAAAGTCTTGAACACCAGATATGTAAAGTACGGGGGATCATACACTTGGCGGCCTTCACCACCAGGGTTTATGTTGCGGCTTCCAGGCTTGTCTTTGAAGTCAGCTATGAGTGCTGCTTCCATTAGCGCAGCTTCGTCAAAAGTAGCGCCCGCAAACAGGACAAACATTTGTTCGTATTTGTCCTTCTCATACAGATACCCCGGAGGTGGGGAGGCTTTGGAGGGCTTTTTGTAAAAGCGGAACATAGGATTTCCCGTCAATCCTATTTTGAACACAGTAGGTCCTTTAGCCAAAACCTCAGTGATTACATACTTGGAACGCAGTAAAGCCCTCCCAGCACTGGCTCCAGTTGAGGGCAACACAAGCCTCACTTTTGCATCCTGTCCCAAGCCATCTAGTAGAAGTTCGGACAGCCGGGGAAGGCCACGAATGCTGGGTTTGAAGATCTCGAGCATAAGTTGACCTTAGGAAGTGCAATTCGGAAATACAACTTTCAATGTGGAGTGTTCGGAACTAAACTAGGGAAGCTCTGTCAAGCTTTCTACATACGGCACCTACATGTGCCAGGAAGATGGCACTTTAAGATCCTATATTCCCTTTATGGGTATCTGGGGATTATATAGATAACTCCATATACTGGGCACCCTACAACCCAAACCCTGTAG